CCCCCGCCAGTGGAGCTAAGGCCAATGCAAAGCCACAGCACAGGGACAGAATGAAGAATCTTGGGATGCACTGCTTCATTTACAGTTGAGTCCACAGGTCAAAAGTACTCCAGGAGTTTCAATCCATGCCCAGGGCACATGAGACACAGGAGCTGGCAGGATGGGGCGGTTTGCTCTAGGAGATGCTTCGGGCACCCAGTGGGATCTCGGAAACAACAAATGGCTTGGCGCCTGACATCAGGACAGGCCACCTGCTGTTGCATGGACAGGGCAGACAGCAGTCAGTGGTTGCAGACCCCCTGGCTTTAGACAGGAAACCCGAGACAGAGGAGTCATCAAGCAGAGGTGGCGCCACTGCCGCCAGGGTGATTATCTTCCCCTGGTCACCAGCCCTGAAACTCACCGTTTCCTATGAGAGGAGAGACCGCAGGGGCTTTGGGGGGTAGAATGGGGTTCAGTCTCGGAAGCATTCCATTCACTTGTTTTAGCCTTTCCAACTTCACGTGCTCCATCCATTTGGGCCCTGTGGCATTTCTCCTGGCTTGCAAAGCGAGGGCGGTGGTGGCAGTGGAGATGGTTGAGTCCATGATTGGGGTTTCCTCGAGGGCGCTGAGGTCTGCTACACTCCCTCCATCGGTCAGATGAAGCTCGAGCCCACTGTTGGAATAGTTGCTGACGGGGGACTGTTGGCTGCTGCATGAAGACTGACCACCAGGGCTTGGCTGAGATGTCTGTTGGGGTCAAGAGGGCAGAAAAGAAATCTCAGCCGGGGAAGTCAAGAACAAGGAGCCGAGAATGCGAGCTCATGCACAACCAAGACCTTTAGGATGATGGATGGGTCAACTGAATGAGAGGGAAACTACGTGGTCGTGAAGGAGGTGGTTTCTCTAGACCACGGCGACGGAAGGGTCGCCGAGCAGTATCAGTGGAGTCAATGAGCATCAGAGGATGCGAGATGAGGTGTGGGAGGCATGGCATCAGCACTGGAATTCGGACAAAAATGCTGACTCTGTGAATTGACGTCCTAGGCGCAAATTGCACCTCTGCACATTTATTCTTCCGGCAAATTACTTTGGCGGCTCTAAACCTCAGTTTCCTTATCTACAAAGTGAGGGCAATTTGCATTATGGGCCTGTTGTGAGAACACTGCAAAAGGGCGGAGAATGGCATCAATTGGCTCCGGGAGCGTCCCCACATGTTCCTCTCCTAGGGGGCTCTCTGCTTTGTGTTCATTTTGCTAAGCGAAGCCTTAGAAGTGAGGATTGCTCCACGTATCCCCTCCTCTCCAACAAGAGCCCCTCTGAACTACTCAGGGCTATTAACCAAACTCCGAACTATCCTCCCACCACGGAGAACCTCAGGGAGGTCGTGGTTTAGCAAAGGTAGGACGTAAAGGCAAAACATTGACTGGCTAGCTCCTGCTTGATCAGGAAGTAAGGAATCTGTGAATCACAGCTGCTAGGAGCCTGAAGAATTGTTTCATCACTCCCCCTGCTCTGCTCCCTATCATTCCACTGGAACAGTGGGAGGTTCCTCACCCCCACCTCCACCCAATGTTCCTCAAGCAAGTGAATTCTCTAAGAAAATCCTCCAACTAAATGTGGCCCTCACGGCCCCCACTTCTCAATCAGAAGTAGGATTCCCCAACAAGGAGCTTCTAGAAGTGGGGAGAGGGTGGGGTGTCCCAGTGTTTGGGGAGCTCAACTGGCTTTTATGAGATGGAACCAATGATATAAAATGGGCTGCAGTGAGCTGGACCGATGATGCAGTCTAATTCTTTTTTTTGTTTTTATTTTTTAATAACAGCATTTTAATATGCATTAAAATGAAATTGATATTAAATCAGTTTTTATAAATTGCTTTGATGCAGTCTGGTTCTTATCAATCGGATGTTCAGAGAAGTTCAGTGACTGCCCAAAGTCATAAAGTCCCACCAGCCTAGAACCTCAGCCCAGTGCTCCTTTGCTCCTCAAATTGGTAATATCGTCTCCAATGTTCCTATGGAACAGGAAGCCACTAATAGAAGGCAGAAGAGGAATTCTCTTGGGAGAGGAAAATGGACACCATTAGACGACTGAAGTCTGAGGTGGCTTGTTAAGTGTTGTCAGGAATGGAATTTGAAGGCAGGGCTTCCCCGTGGAACCTAGCGCTGTATTTCTGCTCTAGCAGTACATCCCCCACCCCCCAAGCACAGGAACAAGGAGAGGACCATCTACCTATGGAGGGAGTGCCACATGACACACGTGGGCAACCAAGCAGAGCAGAAGAACATGGCATATTTGACCTCGATGGGCATATTTGACCTCGATGGCATGAAGTGCTGATTCGCTTTGGGCCTCGGCATGCCAGACCAGTTACAGACCCTCCAGTTCCCGGGAGTGCTCCCGCGTTGGTGGAGGCCTACTTAGTCTGTGTAAGTAGATATGCACATACACATACACACACATACTCCACAGGACACTGAAGAAGTCATACAGATACCTTCAGTTACAAAATTGCTTATATGAGCGTACACACTGAAATACAGTGGATCATTAAAAACCAATGTAGTCGGGTCCTCCTCAATGAAGGGGGTGCAGGTCTGGTCCATGAGTGGATTTTCCCCAGTAAATACAATGATTACATAGCGCTTGAGAACATCTGCTTGGTTGGCCAGCTGGGTTTGTTATGGAAACCAGGACGAATAGAACAACGGCGTTCACCATTTAACATTCTCTACATGCCGGGGTTCAAAACATCACTTCTACGTCTGAGACACAGCGGAGGAATGGGGACTACCAACGTTAACACAAAACAAAAGGAAGGTGAAGAAAACAAAATTAAGTGCTAAAGTGGAAACACAAAGGGCAGAGAAGCCAACATTCCCTCACCTTATTACCCACTGTCCTTAGGAAGTGAGAACAAGACATTTAGGAGCATTAGACAGAAGAGACGTTGGAGCAATAAGAAAAAAGAAGAAAGAATTTAATTCATAGCATGATGATCAAATCAAAGACAAGTTTTTTTTTTAAAGTAAGATTAGAAATCTCAATCTGATGGGTTGCAGTAAGCATCTATAAAGCATAATTAGCTTCATATGTGTGTACTTGTACACCACTAGTGTATTAAGTTTATTACCCCCTCTGAGTCTCAGTTTCCTCACTTGTAAAATATAAGACTTACTCTTGCTCTCTACAATTTCTTTTAGCCTTGAGCTTCCATGATTTCATTATCGTAGAAAGTATTTCTCAGAGTGATTCATCTCTGATGTCCTTCAGCTGAATATGTGTCTATTTCTACCAATTATCTTTTTCAAGAAGGGGTGTCTCTACATTAACCCAGTTGGAAAGAAGATGGCAAGTTTTCCTGAGCTACGAACGTACCTATCAAGAGACCCTGGGTACTCAGGATGTCTTAGGAACATAATTATCTTTTGTTGACAAAATCTGGGATACCATAAACAGCTTATCTTTAGATATTTGAAGGTAAGCTATTGCATGCCCTGCACCCTTACTATACAGGTTGGATTTATTCTAAGAAATGGATACACTCTCCTACACCACAATGTATATAATACACAGCTTATTAACTGAGTAATTGATTGTATATACACATACATATTTACATATGCCTATCCTGTACACACACACGTGGCCTAGTGGGTTACATGTTGGGCTGTAAACCCATGGTCAGCGGTTCCACGAGAGAGAGAGGTGACTTTCTGTTCCTGTGCAGATTTACAGCCTTGGAAACTCAAAGGGCAGTTCTACTCTATGTCATATGGTCACTATGTCACAACTAACTGACTGACTCACTGGTATCAAGTATTTTATATGTACAAGGGACTTCCAGAATGCATGGAAAAAGAGAATGAAAAGATAATGGAAAATTTCCATATTTTTAAAGCCCTTGCATGTATGTGTGTGTATTAAAAACAAAAGACAAAAAAAACCCCAACAATCCCAACTCACTGCCATTGAGTCTATTTCGGACTCAAAGCGATCCTATAGGACAGAGGAACGGCCCCTGTGATTTTCCAATAGTAACTCTTTTTTAAAAACAATTTTATTGGCACTTAACTCACATATCACACAATTCA